AAGGGTACCGCGTACCTACATGGTACGTGGCTGAAAACAAAGACGTACCAGACTTTAATATTGGCGTACCTCCGGTATGCAAGTACACGAATTATCGCACCCTGATTATATTTATAGACGAGTCGGGCAGATACGGAAGGAAAAAACTTACTATATCGTGGGACAATTCCATTTTGCCTTCATATTGTGCCCTGAAGGCTAGTAAGTACGTTTCTGTATGTTGGCCGCGTTAAAATTTCTTGTGGGCTCCTGCCGACACGTTTTTCTTCGAATGTTGTATTAAACTCTATTACAGTTAAAAAATGTGAAATTTCAAATACATTTCTAACACAAATGACTTACATCATTTGAAAGCTTGCATAAAACTACATATAAGACATTTAAACGGTTACCAGGGTTTTTCAAGTTCTTCTTGAGTTATGAGCTGTTGTATGCGTGTTTTCAGACTAGTACCCAGGAATTTTGCGAGATTTTGGCTTATTTTTAACATTTGAAACGGCAATAACTCAAAAACCGCTTGAAAATCCCAACTAACCATTTAAATGCCTTATATGTAGTTTTTTGTTAGCTTTCTATTGATGCAAGTCATTTGTATTAGAAATGTACCAGATATTTCACATTTTTTCACTGTAATACTAATAGAGTTTAATACAAAATTCGAAGAAAAACGTGTCGGCAGAAGCCCACAAGAAATTTTAACGCGGCCAACATACAGAAACGTACTTACTAGCCTTCAGGGCACAATATGAAGGCAAAATGGAATTGTCCCACGATATGGTAAGTTTTCCATAATTTTGATCCTCTATCTGCCTGACTATTAGTATCGAACTTCCCCTTAGCCTCATTTTAATAATATATTCTTTTTGTTTTTATAATGACCAATAACAAGGCATAAATTTGTAAGTACTAGTTAAAACATGAGCAGCTGATCTTTATCTGATATATGCGAATGTTTTAACGTGCTTAAAAAACGACCCATCTTATGAGTTCATTGGCGAAGCAATTTTAAAAATAAACATTGTCTAAGCCGAGAAAATCAAAGCTGAAGTTTTTGTAAATCAGGACAAATCTTTATCCGATCTACAAACATTGATTAAACATTCATTTCTTTTGTATTTTCCTCATGAATTATTAATTGAGTTTTTAATTTAATTTAATACGACGTTTCGGAGTTTACTCCATCATCAGGTAAAAAACTATTTGTATATGTTAGATCTAAAACGGTTTTAGATCGCAAACTGTAGTTTTTACCTGATGATGGAGTATACTCCGAAACATCCTACTAAATTAAATTTAAAATTTAAGCCTTGTTATTGGTCATGATTATAAAAAACAAAAAGAATTAACTATTAGTTAAGTATCAATAGTAACAACCAACTACTAATTAATTATCATTAAATAAATTAGCTGTAATAAACCCATGATGAGTAAAATCGTCTGGCGTTAGACTGAGTACAATAATAAAGTAGGGCGCATCTGCGCGCATCGCCAATTAAAATATGTTACAATGAATCTCAGAAAACAAAATGTTACAGGCCATGATATGCCTCTCTAAATCACGCTAATATAATTGGACATGACTCACAGTCAAGTTGTTACCATACTGTTCTGCATATCGATCTCCCAGGGTGCGCAGCTCTTGCGCAACTTGAGAGATTGTTTCCCGCTGCGCCACTTGCTGTGGTTCCTGTCGTTCGTCTGGTATGTACACTTCATCGACTTCCTCGCCTGAAATGAAGTCTGAAAATAAACAATTTAAAATAAAAAGTCGTTACAGAAAAAATTTAGACACTCACTACAAAGCAGACTGCATGTACACACAAAAATCTCACATCTTGTTACCCAGCGGGCAAAATGACGATTATCCAACGTTGAATCAACGTTGGAAATGACCTTCCAGACGTTGGATAGACGTTGAAAAAGGGTTGACTATGCAAATTGGATCGACGTTACTGTTTCGACGTTGAAACAACGTTGAAATTAGGTTGCCAATCTCGTCAACCATAATTCAACGTTGAATCCACGTTAAAACAACGTTGAGATTGGTTCACAAATCGACGTCGTACATTTAACCATGAATGAACGTTAATTCAACGTCTGTTGGCTGCTGTTGAACCAATGTTTGTAAAACAACGTCAGAACAACGTAGATATTAGGTTGTCGACGTCGCAACCTTTTTTCTACCAAATTTCAACGTTGAAACAACGTCGTGTGCCAGGTGGGTATGACGTCATAATGTGGGAAGAACAGAAAAGCCTTACGGTCTGGCTTCCAGAATTTCAGTTACATATTTAGCCACCTTAATTCTTAGAGTTTTCTAGCTCCTTCAGTGAACTTTTACGTTTTCCTGTGCAGTTGGCTGTTTCCAAGTAGTGTTAAAACAGTATAAAATATCATTAATAATTCATAAACCTTGTGGCAAATCATGTCAGCCATAATATGTCACGTGGAGTGACTTTATATCTGATAAAACACATGTGGCATTATATAATTGTTCATCCTAATTAGCATGATTATATAATGGTTCATCCTAATTAGTATTCTTTTGTAGTCGTATTTTAAGCTATTCAACTCGTTGTCGTGTTTTATCAGATATTCTTTTTATCAGACACTCGTTGCCGTGTTTTATCAGATATAAAACGCTCGGCTGCGCCTCGCGTTTTATATCTGATAAAACACGCCTACCCGTGTTTTAAACAGTACATAAAACACTGTTTTTGATGTTACTCTGAGTGTATATCCACACCGGGCAGGCTGAAATGTTAGCCTAACCACGGTGGGAATCGAACCCGCGACCTTTGGGATACTAATCCAAGGTGAATATATAATGTGTTTGATGTTACTCTGAGCATTGACTAGTATCCCAAAGGTCGCGGGTTCAATTCCCGCCGTGGTCAGGCCAAATTTTCAGCCTGCCCGGTGTAAATATACACTCAGAGTACATCAAAAACATTATATTCACCTGAGTACATAACAACAAAACACACACAAAAAATAGTATAAAACACTATTTAACAATTTTTGGATTGTGTAGGGCTAATTAATTTAGTAGGGTTAGACTGCAATTTGGATAATCGAATTCTAACAGAATTACTTATAATAAAACCTGTGAGTGATCTCCTTTTCTTGTTATTATGTATATTTATCCCAGTCGTGACAACAAGTATGACGCTGTTATTCTTCACAAGAAACACCATGGACATACTCTTGAAACTCTACCTCCAGGAAGGTATGATAATGTCGTTGTTTGGAAGACAGATGTCCGATCAACACAAAAAGTGATTGGTCGGACATTTTAATATCAGTTTTTCTTGGACAATGGACGAAGAAAATTTTTTTATGGTCTTTTTCATCAACGTGATGTATTTCGGCTGGTCATAATGATCTGCACTGTAGTGCATCTAAAACTGAGTAGCTTTAAATCTAGTAATCTACCAGTCGTAGATTACGGCTTAATGCAGCCAAGAAATAATGGAAGAGTGTCGTTTATATTGCTTTGGTTTCATTAATGAAATTGTGTTCAAAATCAATTTTTTGAGATTGGATATTTGACCAACCTAAATCGGTCGGTCAGATGTCCGATCCGAAAAAAACGTTGATCGGACAAAAGGTAAAATTTGGCCGGCACTAATTTGCAGGCCTGACAGAGACAGTGGCGTCCTGGCCTGTGTTCGACAAGGGAGGCCCGAGGCCAACTGGGAATTTGGCGCCCCCTTAATTTCTTCCTTGTAATTTGTATATGGGCGAGCGCCATAGACGCGAGATGCGCATGAGCGCCCAGGGCATGCCCTTGGAAAATTTTAAAATCAATAGTTCCTGAAAAGCCATTTTATGCGTTTTGAGAGGCGTTTTGACGAAATATTTAGATCAATAAACTGCATATATGCATTGGGGAGTAAAGGTATTGGATAATTGGATATATACCAATTGGATATTTGGATACATACCAAAAGTTGGTGAACGACTGAACAAGACTGTGCGCGAGAGATATTATTGATTAAATTATGTTTACATAGTTTTCTAGGTCTATAAAGGAGAAAGTTTGATTTGTAAAAAAATGTTAATTTACAAAAGTGCTTTTGGTAGTTCCATTGACGTCTTTGCAAACACGTCGATAATACGCTCTTTGTCCAGAGACTGTAAAATTCCCCGCTCAACAGCCATCAAAAGTAAGGCTTCCAATCGTCCTAGCAACATAGTTGATCGAATTCAAGTTTTCACTCTCTTAAGTGCTGAGAATGAGCGCTCAGCAGTGGTAGAACTGATATAGAGATTGCAACCGCAATCGCATATACACTTTACAAAGTGTGACATATGTATCGCCCAGGTGGTAATGAGGATGCGACAGGATTCTCAGGGCCTCAAGAAAAGATAGTACATCTTCGTAGGAGGTGTCTTCGTCTGATTCTTCATCATGATCTGAATCATCATGATCGTTCTCATCAATAATATTCTTCTTCAGAATCAGAGCCATCGACATCGTGAAAAGCTGATCTAAAAAATTCCAATTCGGACTGGCACTTTTGTGTCTGCTTTCGGTGATTTTGTGCAATTTCGGCGCCCCATTTATGCTTTGGCGTCCCCTAAAAAATTTTCGCTGGGGGCATGGCCTCTCCCCCTGCCAGCACGCCACTGGAGAGAAATGTCTGTACAATACATAAGTCAGTTTTGCTCAGCGTTATATACCGTGCTGCATATATACTGCTGTCAACTTCACATGTGCTCACATATTTATGATGCTCAAAATATTTCTATTTGATGTATAATGTATTTCCTAAAACTCAGGTAGCCAATTCAGTCTTATAAACTTTCGCAAGTCAGAAAACTTTAGTTGGAGACTTAATGAAACAGCCTGCACTCGGTCTGCTCTGATAGATATCCTCATACATTATAATAGTATTGACTCCACCCACCTTATAAAACATTTATAGAATGTGTTGTTTTTCATCCTTTTGCTTTTGCACCCAAATATATTTCATCAGTCTACGCAAACGCATGTTTGTAGAATTCATTGCAAACCACTTCGGGTGCTTTGTTTTTATCATGCAGCATGTTTTCCCCTAGTCATTACCCTGGCTGCATTGTAGACTGAAATGGCTTTTTATTTCCAGTGTTATAGGTACAAGTTCTCTACGGAGAGTTGCACAACTTGCGAGAAGATATCCACATTTAAAATATGAAAATGTTGTATCCTTGAGAAAAATATGAGTTGTTGTCGTAGTAGACGTAATCGTTGTCGTCGTCGTTGTTTTTATTGTCGTCGTCGTTGTTGTTGTTGTTGTTGTTGTTGTTGTTGTTGTTGTTGTTGTTGTTGTTGTTGTTGTTGTTGTTGTTGTTGTTGTTGTTGTTGTTGTTGTTGTTGTTGTTGTTGTTGTTGTTGTTGTTGTTGTCGTCGTCGTCGTCGTCGTCGTCGTCGTCGTCGTTTGTATTTGTATTTAATTATATTTATACACGGTAACCTATCAATTGATATTGATTTTCATAGGGCCGTGTAATATTTACAAGTAAGAGAATAGAATTATAATATTTACAATTTATCGTTTAGATGCTGATTCCAGGTCTTAGCCCCCATATAACTAAAACTTCTCTTCATAGAGTTTGTATTTGGTTTTGACAGTCTTAGAAATTTGCCATTACTTCTTAAATTATAATTAAAATTGTTGCACTTTTCAAAAAGGCTACTATTATCTCCGGACCATTATCATTCATAACATTACTCATACATTTTTCCATGAGATTTTGTCGCCTTTCATCCAGTGTTTTCCAGCCTAACTTAAAGTGCCTATGACACGAAATTTCACCCCAAATGTTTATGGTTGTATTGTAAAGATCACTGGTGGTGGTGGTGTTGTTGTTGGTGTTGTTGGTGGTGTTGTTGTTGGTGTTGTTGGTGGTGTTGTTGGGGTCGGCGTCGTCGTCGTCGTGGTGGTTGTTGTCGTTGTTGGTGTTGCAAAACAAGTAGATGTACTCTGGCACCAGATAGAAGGCATTAACCTTGACGTACTTGAATGTAGAGAGGAAACCTGAATACTCGATTAAGAAAACTAGACGAGGATAACAAATACGATGCTTTAGTGTTGGCTGTTGCTGGTATTCACAGAATGAACTGGCACGAAAGAATAAGTCAGGTATATATAGTCCGCATATTACACCATTTTGCTAACACACGTGTATCCTATTTCCACAGGATAAGCCATTCGAACGTCGTACGGTTGATCGCAGATATCTTGTAATTGTTTATATTTTTCAGATCCTCACGCCACCTAGTTGTTTGTATGCAGTTGGACAGGTAACTGAAATATTTTGCCATATAGTCACTCACTTGCTTAAACGGAAAATGGTGAAATAATGTATGGTATATAGGTGTCCTAATGTATGTCCATACTGTCACAGGTTAAGTGGCATAAGCAGTGCTGGTGACAGGGTGGGGCTGAGGAGACAAAATATATACCAAGGGACCAGATCCATCAAAGGCGTCAGATCCGTTGAAGCTGAGCAATCTCTCTTTCCAGTTATTTGATTTCAAAATAAACCAAATTATCGTTCATTGTTTTAGGGCGCCCTAGCTGTGGAAGTCAGAAATAATGACAAAGAAACTCTAGACGTGTTATCCAAGTTAACTCATTTACAAACACTAATTTGTTGTGCTGCAGAAAGAGCCTATTTACATCGCTTGGTAAGTTTTGTAACTGTATTTTCATGCTCCTAAGTATAACATTAGCATTAGGCAAATTTCACTTCGCTACCACTACGTCTCACTGGTTTAGTCCGCATCCGATTGCGAATTTGAACCTCTCCAATATAGGACATGTATATTGTAATTGTTCGTCAAAGTCGTTTACGATCGAGCCCGAAGGGTATAAATACAAATAATTTATTCATTTATTCTCATTGCTGTTTTGCTATATAATGTGGTGTGTTCTAAAAATGTTCAATGTAAATTTTTCAGGAGTTGTGAATGGTTTAACCCAAGTTTTATTATCGTTTGGTATTTTTTCTTTCTTTTTTTTAGGAAGGAGGCTGCAGCGCACCAGTTGGTATCTCGGCAGAATGGCAAGATAATAAAGTAAGTGTAAACAAGTTTTAAAGTATGTATATTTCTGTTCATATATTTAATTTAAATGTACTTAGTCTTAGATCATATTATTCTTAGTCTTAGTTATAGTATTATATTATTTTACTAAAACTGTTCTATTATTATTTTATTGTTATTATTATTACGTGTAAACAACCGTTCCACATGTGGTATATCCAGGTGTGAGTTATCTAAGGGATGTCCGTATGGGCTGTCATGCAGGCTACTTCAAGGCGAGATCCCATACCTGTATGGTTGCTTCTCTCCTGTGCTTCGAGCACTTGTTTCTTTCCACGGACCCTCCAATTTTTCTCCTTCAACAAACCTATGTCGTAGTTGTCGTGCACATGTCATACACCCTACGTCATCTTGGCTATAGAGCCTCGTTTTCGTAATAGACCTTATGCATAATGACGTCACAAGGCTTGATGCCTGCAAGGAATGCTGGTCTTAGTAGTCATCGCCCGGGAAAATTTCGATAGTGGCCATTTTGAATTGTTTAATTTTCCCGGGCGATGACTACTAAGACCAGCATTCCTCGCGGGCATCAAGCCTTGTGACGTCATTATGCATAAGGTATATTGCGACCGTTGGGCGTTAACTAATGTCACACAAAACTAAATTGACGTATTTTAGGGTGTATTCGGCGACCACACCCTGTGTAAAACGACATGAAAAATACTTCTTTCATACAATAATACTTTCAAATCCACAGTAAGAATTGCTTTCGTTTATTTGGGAGAAACAGCCTTCCTAGGCGAGATCTCGCTATTGACCCTGATTCTTCCACAGTCCCTCATCCGCACGCGGTTAGCCGCGCGCGTCCATTGTTCTCCCACTGATCTCTATTCGAAACTGAAGCGACGAGGCAGCTATTAACCTAGAAGAGTTAGATTTCACACGTATATATGCATCCCTTAGGGGCCGATTACATGGAGCATTTTCAACCCCGAGGTTGAACTTAGCCCTGTGTATCGGGTTGAAATTTCAGCCCTGTCTGTAATACAAAACTCTATCAAAATCAAACGCGCGATTACATGACAAAATTTTCAACCCAGGGCTGAGTTCAACCCCGGGGTTAATTTCAACCCTGCTTCAGCTAGCAGGGTTGAAATTTCAACTCCGGGGTTGTGTGTTTATGGTTTATAGTAACGAATTTGCCTTCTCTTTAGTTAAAACTTGAAGGCGCTGTGTTAAGTCTGGATGGTGGACAATGCATAACTGACGAAGTTTGTCACACAGTTGAACAGAACACAAGTGAAAATGACGACATGGAATATTTATCAGACATATCAACAACATGTGTTATAATTCCTGAATATTTAAAACATGCCCTACAATGTTCCGAAAATTCTGGTATTGAACTTGCCAACATGCTTCTGAATCGTGGAGCAGGAGAAGTCATGAAGATTGCCAAAGAAATGATTGAAAAGTCTTAACATCCCTAATGCAATTTATTTTAATATGAATAATTCATTTAAGAAAACTTTCCGCTGTTTTAAAAAACGTTCACACGAGACAGGACGAGTTCGGAACCGAGAAAACTGAAAGCCCTCCGGTTCCATGCATTCGGTTCACCTGGTACTGTAAATGAACGATTAACTAAAGTAACTGTGGTGGTAAATACCATCCTCAAATGATCGTGTTTTGTGATTGGGTTCATACAACAATACTCGTTCTTTAGAAAAATGATTTTTATAGTTCACTGTCTTTTGTTTTGATCAACCAATCACAAAGTCCTACATTGTAGTTTCTGTGCGTCCCCGCGTAAAGAGTACTTTTCCGAATTCACCCGATCCTGTGTGAACAAAACCTTTATTTCTTTTTGAAGTTGCTTTTGGTCAGACACGTATGATCCGTCTGGACGAACTTGGGCAAAGATGTTAGTCTTATAAGTCGTCAGTATAAACCAGAGCTTGAAACAACAGCCGATCGGTATCACCGATCGGCAAAAAATTGTTTATGATCAGAGGATAAACAGGGTTTTCAACCAGGGAAAGTCAAGGGAGTTTGGGAACCTTATTTCAAGCCCTGTAAATAAACTATCCGGCAAGACGAACTATAGTATCTGCATATAGTTGGTCGGCACAGATGAACTTGCAGGCCTATTTCGTCTTGACCATTTAGGGCAGCTCATTATTTATGGCGGTGGTGGCACAGAAGAGAAAAAGGGTTGGGTAAACAAAATTTCGAGAAAGTAAAAGGTTGGGTAAATGAAAAACAAAACAACTCGATTGTCGCGTAATAAGAAATTATTGTCATGTCCAAAGCATGGCTCACTCAAATAGACTAAAAAGTAATGTCAACAGTCAGTCATGAGGTGTCTCCAAAGAAAGTACATGTGCAGACAACGTGAAACTTGTCAGTTTGCAGAAAATTGCACAAGCAGTCATCAAACTCGTGTCACAGAAGTGACAACTGAATGGTATCCTTTTGTAAAGTTTTTGGCCAGGGGCGGGTATTTATTTTTCAATTGATCTATGACGTTGGTAAAAAATATTTTGACTTTTTAATGGGTTAGATCAGCAAAATTTGTACCAATAAAAACGTTCCTCTTCGGTGCCACCCCCCCCCGCCATAAATAATGACCGGTTCCTTAGCTGTGGAAAATGTATTGTACCGTGTGTTGAATCATGCATCATTTCGATATTCATTAAATTAAATACATTAGCTGGAGAAACGAAAAATTCAATTTTATTTTATTTATATTTAAATAATTTGTTAGGCAATCAAATGAAATAAACTCTAATTCAATGTAATGATTTGCTACTTACTACTTGTATAAATCGTGAGTGATGCTTTCCAACTTTTACATGCAAGCAGTAGTTTGCATTGAATGCCATACTGACAGTGGTGTAACGGAGGGAGAGGGGCGTATTTGGTGTGGGGGCCCTTGTTGACTGTTGTCATTCTTTGACTGAGATATTATATTTATATTGAATATTTATAAAATGTTCTGGAAAATTCCATGTCTATAACAATAACAATATCTGTTTTATTTGATGGAATAAAAAAATCAGCTACCGTTGTCGATGGAGGTTTAATTTTTAGCATAATTAATTTTGCATTGATTCTTAAAGTGCATATGACATGAATTTTCTTAAATGAAAGAACTCTTTAAGCTGTAGTGTAACCTATTTTTCAGTTTCTTGTTTTTATGGTTTGTTCCAGAGATATTTCAATTTGTTTGATATGTAAATGAGTGTGAAACGCTAATTTATGACGTCATGTTGGTGGCAAGCTCTTCAAAATGGTTGAATATCACTGCTATCATCCAAGATGATAATGAAACACTGTAGAAAAACGTGAACAGATATCTACAGTTTTTAGAGATTTACGATTTATAACCAGTGTAACATATCAAACAAATTGAAATATCTCGGGAACAAACCATGAAAACAAGAAAATGAAAAATAAGTTACACTACAGCTTAACTTTCGTTTAAGAAAATGAGAAATTTCATGTCATACAGTATTCACTTTAACTTGCATTTTTTACGTTTTCTAATTTTCTGGGCGATACGCCGATAGGCCGTGGCTGATGGGCCCTAACTGTTGGGGGCCCTTAGTTTTTGAACTAACCCTACCTAATGAGCGTTACGCCACTGCATACTGAGTAATTAGAGAAAAAATCTTTCAAAGTATGGCAAATGTTAAATATGAATTACAATATATCAAAACCGACCAAACTACGGCACGTTTTGAGAGATCTGCACTACACAACCCTGGTATTCCCGTTGGAGTCCTGTTCTAAGTTACTATTAGTTAATTGCTACTCCCAATGCTAATCCCAATCAAGATAGTTTTATAGTTCTCTATTATTATTCAGACTTCATGCGTTGACTGGTGACACGATATATAACACTATCACGGCCAGGATCCATATACCACATGACAACAGATACAGCATAGACAGTCAACACGAGAATAACCATCAACCACAGAGAAATGTTAAATATTGGAGGAAACTCGTTGTCATAGTAATCGTCAACAATTGCAAAGTTCTGGTTGTTTTTGCAATTTGTTTTCTACATAGGAAAATAATAAGAATTTCTATAAAACATGATTGAAATGAGGGCATTCTCTATGTAGCTTTTGTGTTCAACATCTCTTTGGTTAAGTAGAAAGAGAGTCAATTGTCAAAATTTCTACATGAGAGTTAATTAAGTTAAGATCTTTGTGTATATGCATTATTGATAAGAACATAGGCCTCTATAATTAAAGTAACTGGTCTCGTTATCATTTCCTTTTAAAATCGACAAGCTGTTCCAAAATAAACCTGCTCCAGAAATGAACGATTACCTATTATACCTAGTAAAAGTGCAAAAAACCGTAATATGTAATTCACCAGGAGTGGAAAAGTAGAGTCAACCACACGAGCACAGCTCAGGAAATTTGCTATAGATTGCAAAATAATGCAACTTGGAAATTAAAGGAAATCCCACTATGGACCCAGACAGACATGCATCGTCCACGAATTTATAACCATGGACATGACGAACTAGCACGCTAATTTATAATACTCAGTTGGTCTGCAGAAAAAAATTATCTCCAGGTTGTGCTCCCAGGAAAATTACTTTCTCCAGCCCTAGCATGTAATTCACTTCACATATAATTTCACTTGTATAACTGAATATGAACACTTCTATGACCCTTACAATGGAGAGGTCCTCGCAGTTTGTTAGTATAGGTAATAGGATGGTTTCGAGTGCAATTTGGATAAAACATGCATGAGTGAGATTTTCAAAGAGCATCAAAACAGCACGAGTCCAAAGGATGAGTGCTATTAATTTTGTGGTCTTTGAAAAACTCACAAACTCACGAGTTCTTGTTTTATCCAAATTTTACGAGAAATCATCCTATTACGTATTAATATACATAAAAATGTTCGAGACAATTGTAGTTTTAACTTTAATACGTTTAAATATAGCTAACCGTCCACTGACAAAATTTTCTTGCTCTGTTCACCTGATTTTTGCACTGTTGTTACAGATTTTTGCACTGCTATTTGAGATTAATTGCACTGAAATCAACCAATCACAGTGGAGTAATAGTTTTATGTATATTATAAAAATAATTACAAGCTACCAACACTGGACTAAATAAGTACTTCACGTAATACAGTATATATTAGAGAGCTTTATACGAGATTCGTTATTTGGGTACGCCATATTCTTACGCCATCATATACATGCATGTACTGACGCCTTATAAATCTCGTAGCCGCCAACTTGACAACGGCATTTTTGAAAAGTTCCGCAGTCGTATGCGGAATGTCGTACTATTAACCGTGGTCGTACGAAGATGACGAGTATAATTTAGTCGTACTCGTAGTCAAATCTAAAGCTCTGCATTACCTTTCTAATGGACGTATCTCGTCTAACCCTCAGGCCTCTTTCATCGTCTTCATACATATAATGTTCCTCGTCACTTAGCACCATCTTTTGCTCGTCTCTACAGAAACCAACATTTTTTATAAAGTAACAAAACAACCCAAAGGTATGAAGTTCGTTCAAGGAACTCATTCTATTGGCTTTCTAAACTTCGGATTGTGGATTGATTAAAATGTTGACATTTCTTTTGCACGGCGCCCGTGTACAGAAATTTTAGAATCAAGAGGTAGATCAAGGACCACAACTTTAGATCTGCCAAGTTCCTTGAATCCCGATGTACTATCTTGGAAACCTCTTAATGTAAGACGTGACAAATCTCTTAGTTTATAAAATCCTTAATACTCACACCGCCCCCAATTTGAAACAAATGTTTATTTCGAGAAGCGATATGCAACCAGAATATAATATCAGAAATAATAAATAAATCTGTCGCTTCCACTGCCAAAAAGATAATTTCTCAAACCAAAGAAAAATTCATGAATAACTAATAAATGGCAGGTTACTAAATTCACAATTTAATATTGACCCATCGCTGTTTTAAATTAAGGGCCCGGTGAAAATCTTTCATTCTTTTGGGTCGTTACATTCATGGAACAGTGATGTTCTGAGCTGAGGAGGCAAGGCCAGCAAGATAAAACGTACCTTTCTTTTTTCTCCAAGTTCACAACCTCCACAAGTGCTTTCCCACCGTACAGATCATTGAATAATTTTGTAATCTAAAGCAAACAACCGATATCTAAGGATATCTATGGATTCATGGATTCTATGCATGGATTTAATTCCATGGATTCAATATCAATGGACTCATGTCTCGCTGTTAATTAGGGTCAGCGAAGGTACAGTACCTTCCTTTTCGGGCCTCTCATTTACTTGGGACTAGAGCACAATGTCAGAGCGGGTCAAAATAAAACCACTTTCGATTAAAGCGAGGACGGGCAAACCCAGACACAGTGGAGGCTATTTAATATACATTCTCTGATAAGAATTTCAACCGTGAAACTTGTAGATTTCCCGATCACGTGAAGAGCCTGGTGCTTCAGTGCACAATACTTACAGAGAAATATTTCGCTTGATTTCTTTTGAATTGTGACCATCCGAATAAATCAGTTCTACTTCACCGCTCACAATTCAAGAGAAATTTTCGACAGCGAAATTTTGCAAGTGGACATCCAGCTTAACTTTTTGTCTCCCATGCTGTTTATGGATGCTAACCTTTGGAATGACATTGTTCAGGATATGTAATGCTGCAGCAACTTGCTGAGAACCATTACCATAGCGTTCAGAAAGACCCTGGAATGTATTTATACGACAAATTACCACAAAACTGAATGCAAAACAGGCAAAAAAGTAAATGATCTAATCAGCTACAGTAAGGCACGTTTATACCCACTGCCACCACATTCACGTTTTGAGGTAAATCACCCAAACACTATATGAATTATTTAAATTACTAGAAAATACATGCATGCAGAAACCCTCGCCTTGCTGACAAAACCATTTTATTTTCCGAACGTGAAGTATTTTAAGTAGTTGTCATGGTAACACGATAATTTTTTAAGAATATTTTTACAAATGAAAAAT